ATACCCTCAGTCCACATCCCTTGTCTCCTAAACAATAAGCATGTAATGAGCACCCAATATAAGTCATGAATTTCACAGTACCATGGATGTGCAGGGTATAAAACTTGTCTATAGCAGTGACGGAGAACCTTTCAGACACTGAGTGCCAAATTGCAATCCAAAACCCACTTACTTATCACAAAGAGCCAACTTGGTGATGGAAGTTGAATACTGAGGTTTTAGTGCAGAAAATACGCCTCATACATAAATAACTTTTGTCTTAAAAGTAGAACCCAATAATGCACGTACCATAGGTTTGCCACCACTGGTCCATGTCATTCTCTATGTCCTCTAGAATCCCTTTCCAAGTTATACACATGGATACCTACAAATAATTATGTTATAATGATATAGTTGTTATTAATGTATTACAGGAGATGAAAGAAGCCAAGGGAAAAATACATTATTTCTAAAAGAAGGAAATAATCAAGAAACCATATCTGAATATTGAAAAGTGGTTGATGTTTACCTACCAGCACATGAAGAGGTGATGGGTAGGACATGAAAGTATATTATGAGGGAAAGACAAGCTCCAGACTCGGAACATAGCAAAGTCCAGGACATAAAACTACATAACTAAGCTGGGGAAAATGTTAAGCAAAATAAAGATAATGCTAATAGGGGGAGACTTTGATATATACAAGATAAAGGTTTTTTTTTAAATAAAAATTGTATTTACTGGGGCTGGAGAGATGGCTCGGTGGTCTGGAGCACCTACTTAGAACAAGCTTGGCAAAAGCATCAGGGACCGCGGTTCAATCCCCCAGCACCACATGCCAGCCAGCCCGCCCCCTGGTGAGCTGAGCTGGCCTCTCTCTCTCTCTCTCTCTCTCTCTCTCTCTCTCTCTCTCTCTCTCAAATAAATAAATAAAATTAAAAAAAAATAAATCTGTGAGCCTGATTTAATAAAAGGGCTGCTTTTTCTTCTTTTTTTCTTTAAGGCAGGGTCTTGCTATGTAGTTCAGGATACCTTTGAACTCACTATGTACCCAGACTAGCCTCAAACTTGCAGAGATCCTCCTGCATCAGCCTCCTGAGTTCTGGGTGCAAGGGCTGCCATTTTGTCTTCAGGGATAGGGATACTGATGAGTCAAAATAAGGCTTTCCTTCCCCTGTGACTAGAAAAGATTGCCTCAAGGAAAAAATGTGGAAGATTTAAGTATTCAGTGGGTCCTTCATAAAAGGGACACAATTGCTTTTTCCCTCTAACTCTGACCCAAGTTCCTGAGCACATAGGAAAGTCCAGGTGGTTTTGAGCGATTCAAATGCACAATCTTGGGCTGGAAACATAGCTTGGTGCTCGATAGGTACAGCACACATAGCATGAGTGAGGCTCTGAGTTTGATTCCCAGCACCTCCAACAAAATTGTTTTTCTGTGTTTTATACAAGTTCAACTGTTTTTCAGACTCATTTTTCAAGACTGGATTGTAATATACAAAATTCAATTTTTTGGGAGGTTTGGAGTGGGGTGAGGTGCTGGGGGTTAAACCCAGAGTCTCAAAAGCTAGCTAATAATCCTACCATTGAGCTACCTTCTACCCCAAATCCAACATTTTTATTTTTTAATTTTATTTATTTATTTATTTATTTTGGAAGAACTGGGGATTGAACTCAGGTCCTTGTGCTTGCCAGGCAAGCACTTATTCTACTGAGCTATCTCCCCAGCCCCTATGAAGAATATTTCTGAAATTATTTAATACTCAAGCTATGCTTAATCTTAATCATTATGTTTACTTCCTTAGATATTTAAAAATACATAAGTAGAAACTTTGCTATCAATACATGTATACCCACAATTATTTTTGTTTATTTTTCTTGATATTTTCTTTCTTTCTCAAAGTTACTTATGCATTTTATACATCTTTTTCTCATTTATTTGCATTAAACTATACATTAAAAAAAAAAAAACCTGGGCCAGGGAGATGGCTCGTTAGAATAAGTTCTTCCCTGGCAAGCACAAGGTCCTGAGTTCAATCCCTGGTACTGCAAACAAACAAACAACAAACAAACACCCTATACACTCTATGAAGGGCCAGAGATGTCTTCTAATGTTACTTATATAGAGACAACTAACAAGGCGAAATAATTTAAAACTAACAATTAACAAAAAAGTTAAATATAATAAAGATGATAAAGTGACAGACATTTCCAGAACCATCTTTATTTGCTCTATGAATCTGAGGAAATGTTACATCCTCAGGGTGGTCTTGGGTGCCTAAAAGGATATTTTCTTCCCCTCTCCACGGTGCAGCTTCTCTTCTTTTCTACTTGATGTTTCTTCTCTTGGTGGCAATTTATCTTTATCTGACATGCTATATATTTTAACAGATTCAAGGGCTGTGTTCTAAAAGTCTTTCTGATTTGTTGGATGGCAACTTCTAATGGAGTGTGTCCCATCAAAATACACCCAAAGAACCCGGATTTGTATAGCACTTTGAATGACAAGTCACTATCTGGACTTCTTAGGTGTGGAGAAACAGCACATTAACTGTAATAACCTTTTTTGATATTTTGTCCAGCCCTTTCCTCTTTTAACGCAGCAGTTACAGCTTGCTGATCTTGAGGGTAGCCTCCACCTATCAACCTTTTGATCAGCGAACAGGTTTTAGAGAAAATACGACTAATCGGCGTGGAGAGTGGACCAGGGGGTTGAGGTAAGCTTAGTCTTCCAAGGGGCATTCCCTGGCTATATGTCCGGGCTTTCCACATCGGTAGCAGTTGACATCACTTGCCTTATCGCAGCTGATGGCCATGTGGCCGTTCTCGCCACAGCGGTAGCACCTGATTTGGGGGCAGTCTTTCTGGATGTGTCCAGGTTCGCCGCAAGTGTAGCATTTCTGCGCTGCCCGATGATCACAGTCTCGAGCCAGGTGGCCTGGTTTGCCGCAGGTGTAACAAGTCTGCTCTTTCTCCTGTTTAGGCTCGCGGCAGTCTTTGGCGATGTGGCCACTTTTCCCGCAGTTGTAACAGATGTCCTGGAGGTCGCAGTTCTTGGCATAGTGTCCGGCTTCACCGCAGCGGTAACAGATGTCAGACTGGGTGGTGGAACTGCATTGCGGATCTCTGCCTCGGGTTCTAGCTGTTCTCCCTCGAGCTCCTCCATTAGGACATTCCCGGGCCCAGTGGCCAGAGCGCCCACACTTGAAGCATTCTTTCTCGCTCATGGCTACGGCCGGCTACCGGCTACCGGTGAGATCTTCCGAGGAGCAAGCCCACCCTTCACTGCCACCCAAGCCCCAAGGCAACTTCCCCTAGTCTGGTTTAGGTAGGAACAGCTTATTTGCCTGCAGGGGCCTTTATGATATCACAATAGGCTTGCTCAGGGCTTTTTTTTTTTTTTTTTTTTTTTTTTGAGACAGGGTGTCTTTATGTAGTTCAGGCTGGCCTTAAAGCTCACTTTGGAGCCCAGGCTGGTCTCAAACTCACAAGGAACCTCCTGCTTCAGCCTCCCTAGTGCTGGGATTGCAGGTGTGCACCACCATGCCCTAAGGCCTCTTTCACACTTGTTCCTTTCCTTTTTAGTAAAAAACCACAAGTGCAGTGATCTATTAAGTGGTCTTGTTCTCTTGTTTGATTTCAACATTTGGGTCAATAAATTGGAATTTGAATCCATTCCTGCGCATGTATTATGATCTGCAGTCTGTAGTATTTCTAAGTGGGTGGCTTTCCTGGCTTAGGGACACTGCTCAGTGGTGCAACACATGAGCAAGATTTCAGCAGCCCCACCGCACCCCAAAGAAAAAAAAGGCAGCCTATGGTGTTACCTCTTTGCAATTACGGCACGCTACAGTGCTGAGGCAGAAAGACGAAAAGTTCAAGCCTAACCTTTAAAGCTCTGTGTGTGTGTGTGTGTGTGTGTGTGTGTGTGTGTGTTACTAGAGAGGGAACCCAGGACCTTCACACTGAGCTACTTCAGCCTCCTTTTTTATTTCAGTTTGTCTTCCTTCTCCTCCTCCTCCTCTTCTTCTGTAGCAAACCTATACTTTATTCTGTATTGTCTCATTTGAGTTTTACTATTTTTACACCACACTTTGAAGTTCTTAGGCTACATATTACAAGATAAAAACTAAAAATGGGGTTTAAGAACAGGAAATACATTTATTTATTTATTTATTTATTTATTTATTTATTTTTGTGTGGCCGCTTCAGCCTGGCCTGGGGACGGGGCTGGCGCGGCATGTGGTGCTGGGGATCCAACCGCAGTCCCTGTGCTTTGCCTAAGCTTGCCTAAGCAGGTGCTTTAGACCACTGAGCTATCTCACCGGCCCAGGAAATACATTCATTAAATTATTATTATTATTATTATCATTATTTTTTTTTGGCGGAACCGGAGTTTGAACTCAGACCCTTGTGCTTGCCACGGAAGCGCTTATTCTGCTGAGCTATCTCCCCAGCCCCATTTATTAAATTAAACATCAATCCAAGACACCAGGACAAGCTGTAGCCAGAGTCTAGAAATACCCAAGCAGCTACTCAAGTCATATTCTCAGGTTCTAGTGGCCACTTAATAAGCATGGTAACCCAGCTTCATAGTATGCTTGGTCATCAAAATCCATGAAGATGCCAGCAAAATGTTCAGATTTTTAAAAATTTCAGATTTTAAGGGACTGGGGAGAGATGGCTCAGTAGAATAAGTGCTTCCCTGGCAAGCGCTAGGTCTTGAGTTCAATCCCCAGTTCCACAAATAAAATATAAGTAAATGTAGATTTACTTTGCAGTGTGTAAAGTGCCAATTTTAATAGATCCTCTAAAATAAAGAATATATAGGTAAGGTAAAAGAATGATCATCCAAATTAATGTAAGAACAGCTCACAGCATTTTATTGCTAGTGTTTTAAGTCTGTGGAACATCTAACTACCTATCTACTTTATTGAACTTCACAGAAAATCCAGTATAATACTAAGTGCTTATCATCCTAAGAATACAAGAAATACTGTTATGTTAGAAAGCTATTCCAAGGGCCGGGGAGATGGCTCAGTGGAATAAGCGCTTCCCTGGCAAGTGTAAGGGCCTGGGTTCAATCCCCAGTTGCATCAAATAAACAAACAAACAAGCCCACAAAACACAATTAGGGGCTGGGCATATAGCTCAGCGACTTAAGCACTGCCTGGCAAGCACAAGGTCTCACATTCAATCCCTGGTACTGCAAAAATAAGTAAATAAAAGAAGAAAGATTTGTACTGATAGTGTTTGGACAGGATATCATGTCTGCATCTTGTACTATGAATAACCACTATGAAGACAACAACAACAACAAAAGACAACAATATGCAATGTATTAATCATTAAAACTGTGCTACTAATCAGTTTTGAAACTGTCTCATTGCTATTTGTTTCTCAATAAAATTAGTAATAAATAAATAAATAAATAAGAACACCCTCACTGGCCACCTAGTTCCAAACCTTCAACAATCTGTTGGGGGCTGGGGAGATGGCTCAGTAGAATAAGTGCTTGCCTGGCAAGCGCAAGGGCCTGAGTTCAATCCCTGGTTCCACAAAAAAAAAAAAAAAAAAAGAAAAAAAATCTGTGTGGCAGAAGGGCAAGGTTTCATATCTTCATCAGTGCGCATAGAGAAGAGTTCACTTGCCTTCTGGTATGATTCATCCAGTTCGCCCTTATCAATAGGCAACCTAGTTCCCAAAGCTGCATAGTGTTTCATCATCAGAGCCAGTGTCATCAAAGGTTACATCTCCATCACCACCCTCATCTTTAAGACTAAGATTAATGTGTAAAATGGATAAAGTAATCATTTCTTGCAGGGTAAGGCCAAAGGCAAATAGGTCTGCTTTGTCAATAATAATGCCATTTTCCTCCAGAGCTTCCTTGGGTTTCCACAACTTAGTGCCAGTGTAACAGGCCTCAGGATCAATCACACTTATATTTTCATCCATTGAGAGAGAAACTCATACATCACAAATTTTAATTGTTTCAAAATCACCTTTAATTACAACATGAGAACATTGTATGTCTCCGTGAAGCAATTTTTTTTTTCTTGCTGCACATACTTTATCCTGTTGCCATGTTTAAAGCAACTTCTAGAATGAGAGCTGCTGGAAAAGGACCTTGGCTGTGTTTATATCGCTCTTCTAGTAAGTCAATTAGAGATTTTTCACCTTCCATATTCCATAGTAAGGCACATACTGCCCTTGTTGGCTTCAGTAAAAGCACGATAGCCTACAAGGTTTGCACGATGAAGGCTTTTCAAAACCTGAGCTTCATCAGTCAATATCTTTTGATGATCATTACATATAGGATTAATCTTTTTCACAGCCTAGGAGAATGATACAGACCTCTTGGAGATCTTATTAGGTAAATATTTCCTGCAGTGCCATATAGCCAAGCTTCTGCATAAACAGAGAGGTGGGGATGTTTATATGCAGAGTTGATAATTCAGATTTCCATATATATACATACATATATATGTATATATATAAGAGGCCAAGAAGATGGCTCAGTATATGTGTATATATGTGTGTATATGCACACACACAGGTGTGCATACATATGTGTATATGTATACACACATATGCATATATACACATACGTATATACACATACATGTACATATGTATACATGCATATACATATATGTATGTATATACATATATGTATGTCTATGCATGTATATGTATACACACATGTATATGTGTATATATGTGCATACATGTATGTATATGTATGTATATACATATATGTATGTGTGCATATATACATGTATATGTGTGTATATATGTGCATACATGTATGTATATGTATGTATATATACATATATGTATGTATGTATGTATGTGTGCATATATATTCTTTTTGAGACAGGATCTCTCTATGGAGTCCAGGCTGACCTTAGGCTCACTCTGTAGCCTAGGCTGGCCTCCTGGGATTACAGGCCTGTGCCACTATGCCTGACTTTTTCAGATGATTTGTTTGGTGTTTTGAAATTATTGATTCCTTCCATTACAGCAACCACTCTAAGTGCTATGATGAAACAGTCGCACAGCAGCGTAAAGAAAAAGAGCGAAGTGATGACAACTGGCACCGAAGACTGCCTTGGTGCGGTGCCTGTTTTCTTTTGCTGTTTTGTTTTTTATTTATGTATTTGTTTGCTTTTGTAGTACTGGGATTGAACTCGGCACCTTGCGCTTGCCAGTCAGGCACTTATGCCGCTGAGCTGTATCACCGGTCTTTGCTGTTGTTTCTTATTTATTTATTTATTTATTTATTTATTTTAAAAATCTTTTTTTTTTTTTTTTCAGAACCGGGGATTGCACTCAGGCCCTTGAGCTTGCCAGGGAAGCGCTTATTCTAGTGCGCCATCTCCCCGACCCCTACTGTTTGTTGTTTTTTAAACAGCAGTTTTTGCCCCTTATTTATTTAAAAATTATATTTTAAAGTTTGTAAAATGAGGCACAACAGAAGAGACCCGTGAGATCTTCAAAGAGGCAGGAAGGCCGAGGATCACAGGGCAGGCTATTAAGGATAATGGGGAATAAATTTAAGGAGACTTTTCAATGGAACGGCGAGCTAGGAAGAATGAAAGAGGGGTTGACAAAGAAAGATGAGCTTAGGATGGGAAGGTTTGTGGAGGCTGGTAACAACCAGGGGAATGGGACGGTGAAGCATTAGGGACCTGGGTTCTACAGAAGGGGTGAAGGCGAGGGGTGGGTTGCTAAAGGTTAGACTCCTAGAAGCGAGGCTCCGGGTAGGGCGGCGCACGGCGCATGCGCCCAACGCTCGGCGGTGCGCTCCGGCTGAGGCTGGCGGGTTTTGGCTTCAGCTCTGCAGCTGGAGACGCCGCAGATTTTTCTCCCCGTTGTTCAGTGCAGGTACCTGCTGCTGCTGTGCAGACATTTCTATCTGTTCCGCCGCTCTCCTCATACTGTTGGGGGACTTGCGACTCTTTAAGACTTGTTGCTACGTCTGACTCGGGAGTTAAAGGAACGGCACAAGGCAAGCGTATAACGTGGAGGGCGGCGGAGGGAACTCGGGCCAGTGAAATCTTTAATTTGTGCATTCTCCGGGTGACGGGAGGAAAAAAAGGGAGCAGTACAGGACTCAGACCCCTAAAGGATAATTAGCATTTATTTATTACTGCCAAAGGATAGATTTTTTTTTTCCTCCAAGCAGGGTCGAGGCACCTGATCTTGGTATTCCGCATGACCTGTTTAAAGTTGGGGTTCGTGATTTGTAGCAGGTTTATGTAAAGGGTGAG